AAAACAAACCTATACATAGTAAACTTCAAAGTGTAAAATATCTATCAAAAAATAAAACTGATCGATCTTTATTAACAATTTCTTCGGCGCCCGAAGGTATTTTTATGATTGTTTTATTTTTCTTTTTCAAATATATTTTATATATTTAGATGATACTCCAAAACTAGTTAAAACTATTACACAACCACCTTCTCATGAATCATCTAGATATGGTATAACAAATATAGGAAAATCTAATCCATTAGAACCAAAATCCTCAAAATCATATTCACAATCACATCGACAAAATTATGAACTTCGACGTAATCCAGATTTTCCAGGTTTTGGTTTTCGTGTAAGTTCAACTGGAACCGGTATTATTAGACATAAAATTGCTGAAATCATGCCAAATTCACCTGCTGAACAACAAGGTCGATAAAATATAAAAGAAGAAAAAATTCTTATTTGTTTTTAAATAATATTTCTATTTTTAAGGTCTTCCTGTTGGTTATAATATTATCGCTATTAATAATCGAAATGTTCAACATATGAATGCAAATGAATTTAAACAATGTTTATCTCAAAGTGCACATGAAAATAAAAAACCATTATTATTAGACGTTATCGATGAAGATTCAGATCGAGATCAACGAAGTTCATCACTTTCTCAAAGTTCTATTTCAACATCGAGAATTGATGTCAACGAAGTTTATCCAACAATGCGTCATTGTGTTATTCAAGTTTGTTTTTTTTCTTTTAGAATTTAATTTCATTCATCTATTATACTTAGTCTCGGCCACAATATCAACAGCTTGGTTTTAAAATTATTCAATCACCAAAAACATCTAGTAAAGATGGCGGATATCAAATAAAACAACTTGAAACAGATTCACCAGCTGCTCTTACAAATATTCTCAATGATGATTATATAATTGAAATAAATGGCGTCAATATTGAAAAAGAAGATTATCAATATGTTCAAGATCTTATCCGTGAAAGTTATCGAAAAAATCAAAAGATTGAACTACTGGTTATTGATGATGATGGTTATCAATGGTACAAAAATCGTCAATATCCTATTGATCCATTATCAACGAGAGCCAGTGTTGTTCGGTAAATTAAGGGACCCCCTTTCCCTCATAGAAAATCGATTTTTATTGAAAAACAATTACAGTTGAATTTGTATCATAGGAAAATTCAGCGAATTTTTTTTCTCTCAGAATACATATTCTTTTATAATTTAAGTATGACCGATAGCACTAGCTTATGCTAACTGTTACGTGTTTTTTAGAAGTCTCATTTAAATATATTATGAATATACCATTTTAATATGTTTTTATTTCAGAATTTGAATGAAAAATTCCATGTCTAAACTAATTTATATGTTTTTCTCAGCAAATAGTTTTTCAATCTGAAAAATTGAAACTCCTTCCACTCGATTCAACATGTAATCAATATTTATTTTTATCTATTTTAAAGGTCTTAATGAGAGTGAACTTTTATTCGATCAGAATTTTATAGTTGATTTATCTGTTTAGAAAAGCGAGATGTAATGTCATGACCTCACACTATTTTTCGCTTATTTTAACATTATAATTTACTAAAATAATCATACAAAATAAATGAAAGCAAATTTTTAAATTCCGTTCGGACAAAACCTGTGCTTAGATATTGATTTTAATTTGAAAAGATTCCGAGTTATTTAACTCTTCCAGTAACAAAGGTATATAACTTATCCTGAAGACCATAAATGGACTATAATTAAGCTGAAATTTCGGTCTAGTTTGATGTATTAGGCTGAAATTCTTACGAGAAGAGTTTCTCACTAGAGTCATTCGTTTCTGTAAATTTCAGTCGACATGGTCCTTCTTAAGCGATAAATCTATTGTGAGAAGGACCTTAAAACATTTCAAAATGAAACAATAAATATTTCCATCACTTTTAGATATAATACATCTGATCCTCCACGTATGGATATGCCATATGACACAAATAGTACACAATCATCTGCACGTGTTAGACCTATTGACAATTCTCGAGATGGAAAACAAAAATCAAAAAAATCAAATATTAGTAAAATTCTAAATACTATTAATATTAAAAAAACAGAATTGATTTTCTTGTTTTAAGATGACTCTGATTTATCGTCCAATAATCCATATACTCGTCTAGAAAAGAATCCAAATGTAGCGTCATCGTTGTATGCTTCACAAGGACGTTTATCACGTGGGACAGTTGATATTGTATCTGAAAAACGTTTTCTTCGTTTGTGTCGTGTAAAAACGGTATCTGGTCAAGTATTAGGTTTTGATATAAAATCTAATGATAGTAAACATATTATTTGTAATATTCAACCAAATTCACCAGCGGGTAGAATGTTAAATATATTTTTATTATTAGTTTTGTTGTTTATTATTATTATTATTTAGCTCGTGCTGGTTTAAATGAGAATGATCGTTTGATTGAAGTAAATGATGACAATATATTAGACAAATCATATCACGGTAAAAAGTGTTCAGTATAATTAAAATGTGAAACATAGTAGATCTGATTAAGTCTTATCAAAGGATGATTTATAAGTGAGAAAAAACTTAGAACTTCATATAGTGTCTTTATGCTAATATGTAGGAGAAAATTCATCCAAAAGATTGGAAATATTATCAATAGACTAGTCGAATTGAAACATCTATGTTGGCAAAAGTTAAAAATTTGCTTCGTTTAAAAAATTCTAGAAAAAAAATCAATGTTCTACCAAATTTAAATTGACATTTATATCTTTTGCTAACCAAAGCTTTGCATAAGTTTAATGAATAATACTTGGTGAATCTATCTATTAGCCAAGAAGAAAGAAAGAGACTTAGAAGATTATCTGTGAAATCAATATTAGGCTTGGAGAAAAGACTAATGAATATGAGAACTAACTCGTTGAAATTATAATTTATTTATTTCGTAAGCTGCCGGTAATGTGAATTTCCAGTAAAAACTTTTTTTCGTCTTTTTTTTTACGTCATTTGATAGAGCGTGAGCTGCTGATCACGAAAAACAACGTTTTGTCTAACGCAAATACCTTTTGGGTGTGAATGTCAGTATTAGTCTTCTCTTCATTTACACCCACACCTACCCTTATAACCTCAATGAAAACTAAGGAAAACGTTAGAGTTCAAGAAATTTGAGGTGCGCTGGTATTTAACAATATATATTAAACTTCTATATTCTTCTCAAACAGTTTCAGTTTCATAACAATTATAGACCTTTGTCACAGAGGATATGCATATTTCGTGAGGGTCTAGGTATTTTATCTCTCACACTCCACACCCACACTCTTGAAAAATTACTTTGCAACATTGACTCATTGCTTGTTGCTTTTTCATTCGATCATATTTAACAGAAAATGTCAAAAACAAATAA